GGACATTGACAATATCAGAGTATGGAATTGATATTTGACTGCAAGGAGCTTGTATGGTTTGCGGATATAGTGATTGAAAGTGTAAAAACTGTGATTGAGTGGGATTGGTGATCGTTACGCTTCGTATCTCAACCTCAAATGCAGCGTAAGCGATGACAACATAAAAAACCAACGTTAGTAAGGTGATGTATACACGCGTGGACATACGTTGAAGGTGCACAACTTCGCTCTGATCGCTGTCGTCGCTCTTGTCATCATCGTCAAAAATGTTTACAGTCCTAACATACTGTTTAAAATGTTGGAAATGACCACAAGTCGAAGTAACTGATGATATAGCCATCGAAATTTAGAACACATAAAACCAAAGGCTTGAGATGAATGGTTATTCTAGAAAAGCAAAGCGATACAACAGCTCTTATAGAAAAGATGTGACTGTGGATCAATTACATACTGTGCCATTTATGCAAAGCACTGTTTAAAAGTTCCAGATTTTGTCTCGTTATTCGATTTTTTTGGAAAAAAGTCAAAAGAACATACGTGTTCAGAATCATGCCCTCGCTGCATCTAGTGTATAAATTCTTGAAATATTCCGGATCGAAAAGAGAAGCAATCTTATCGTTATCCTTAGTATTTACCGTATTTTCAATCTTCTGAAAACCAATGTTCAATTCTGAGCAGCATTCAAACAGAATCAGGCATCTCCAAAGTGATATAATTTCTCACTTCTGATAATTTGTTAGATAGTTTTCGAAGACACACCTGTGGTGCGTTTCAGAAGTACATTTCTACATAAAGGTATCGCCGTGTCACTATCTACAACATGTATAATAATTGCATTTCAATAGATCAAGATAACAAGCTTTCTCATGGAATTTCAATTTTTGTTTGCTCTGATGCTAAAATTTCTTTAACACGGATAAAAGATAGAGCTTTTCACGCTCTACAAAATGCGTCACTTTCTTTATTTATAACCAAACGCGTTAGTGCATAAAATAGAGAAAACTGCTTTTTTGCTAGAAATTTGTGAGTGCTGCACCTTTCTAATGTTCTTCCGTCAAATATTTTTCAGATGACCTGACTATCTAAGATTTGTGTGTAATTGTCTGGAAAATTAGAAATGAAGATTCTTTTGAAAAATATGTAAGTCTAGGCGATGTGAGAATGAACGAGTTATTGAGAAAATACGCACAGCGACTGAACTGAAACCTATGGATCAAATGCAAGAATTGGTTCTGAAAAACTTTACTTTTCCTAGGATTTGGGTAGCGATTCTGAGTTTGAAGGCGAACCGCACTTTCGATTCTGGGCTTGAGAATCAAAAAGTGAAAATCACTACTTCTATTCTACACTTACAGCCAAGAACCAAACGGTGGTGAGTCTGAGATCGTTTGTCTGAAGTTCCTTATAACTGCAGGCTTGACAGGTGACATACATGGCATTGGTATTTCGTGATGGACGCCGAGCAGTTGAAGAATAGAACACTGTTTCGTACCAAGAGTCAAAATCATCTTTTGAGAAATGTATAAGTCTAAAATCGTCAAGAATGTTCGCAGTCGTAACATACTGTTCAAAACGTTGCAACTGACCGCAAGTAGAGGCAACTGATGATAAAGACATCGTAATTTAGAACACATAAAACCAAAGGCTTGAGATGGATGCTTATTCTAGAAGTTGAAACATTGCCTCATGAGACATAAACGAAAGACCTTTTATTTATTAAAGTGAATTAATTATTTATTTCACCAGCCGCTTCTTTCTTCTTTTTAACCATTAGATATATTGAGCTTTTCCTTTAAGATCTTAATCCGCGTCAGTACTAAGTGGTATTGTACTTTGTAATTGGTACTGTCGGTATCGGTATTTCGATACTATCCCCAAATAGAAGGTAGATGGTTGTTTTTTCGAAGAACTCAAAGAGGATAAAAGATAGAGACTTCCGATTTTCTGTAATCGAAAGCAACAGCATAGCCTGTATACTTATCCTAAGATTCCGCTATCGATTCTGAGCTTGAGAATTAAAAAGTGAAAATCGCTATTTCTATTCTACACTTAGAGCCAAGAACCAAACGGTGGTGACTCTAAGATCATTGTCTGAAGTTCCTTATACAAGCAGGCATGGCAGCTGACATACATGACATTGGTTTTTCGTGATGGACGCCGAGCAGTTGAAGAATAGAGCACTGTTCCATACCATGAGTCGAAATCATCGAGTTCAGGCTGAGATCATGATTAAAGTTCCACTGACGAGGGAAGGCTCCCAACTGTTCCACCGCTTTTGGACTATATCTTAGGGACTATAGGTAATTAAGGGTGCTGATTTCGAATATCACAAGGATTTTTGTGTACAGGATTCCAGAGCCTCCCGGTTTGTGGAAAATCAGTTTTCTCTAAAATCAGAAACTCTAAAATAAAACACAAACCTTTCTTAATGAGGCATGATTGTAGCCCGCACATTTGAGATTAAAATGAGATATCTTCCAGCTTTACACGATCTTTACTTTGCACAATTATAGAATTTACAAGAAAAGCCCTAAATTAATTTCTTCTTATTTCTGTAGCTTTGACCTAACATTGAACAAATTCACAGTCCACTCGGAAAACCTCAGAACGAGTTGGAAACATCAGAACATGCTTAGTTTTTATCACCAAACGTGATTATATGATCGAGAACATTTGGAGGTTTTTGTAGAAACATCTTCGGAAAAGCATGGGATTTAACAAGATCCTTTCTATAGATTTCTTATAAATAAAATATAAAATAGCCTAAGTACTGTACATCCCGATGTTTTGTTCCACTGGTTGTGACGTCTGCTGAGTGAACTGTGCAGTTTTTGACAATATAAATGGTAATTTATGCACGACATATATTTATAGCCTGCCGCTCTAGCTGTAGGCCCGAGAGTGACAAGAGCTTGTACATATGAAAAAGACGGTTTTCGGTACAGCATTGGTCCTTTCCAACAAACAACAAACGAGCTTACCATACTTTTTTGTCTTTTACCAACTATACTCTATTTAACTTCTTTATTAGTTGTGCTCAGCTCTTTTCCTTGAAACAAAAGAGTTGACAGCTGGTGAACGATCTGTTGTTCCGGGGATCACAAAATAACTATTTTCTAACTTCTCTTGTATCATTTAAAGTTTCACGACTATTTCTACATACGAGACACAGCTTTGTTTTCATGTTTCTAGGATGATACCATGCGAAAGAAAAGTTAGTGAGATATTCAAGTACTTCGTGCCCATATTCATTTCTAGAGCTCTGCCATTTCTTAATGTTTGTGTTGGATAGAGTTTTTTGAGAGCTTGAAATGAAATTTTTTCGCTGAAACAAAAACAAAACTTTAGTATTTAATTCAAAAATTGTCAACTCTTTTATTTCAAGGAAAAAAGCAAAGTACAATTAATAAAAGAAGTTAAACAGAGTTAAGGTGCAGGCAACTCAAACTTCAAATAAAATTTCTTTTCATCTTTTCGTTACATCATTTGATAGAGTTTGAACTGCTGATCACGAAAATCGATTTTAGCCTTAACAAATGTTGTTTTCAGATCGAAAAATACGAAAAACTTGAAGGGAGTCGTTTTTTTGGAAAAACACAACTTTTTCAGAATTAAATTATTCGAGGAAAGTAATAGATCAAGTAAATCAAGACTTGCTCCCGATTTACTCGGAAATTACACTTAAATATTGATAAATGTAAAGCTATGGTTTTTTCTACTCGTGTACGAGAGACTCTCGCTTCATTGCCACCTGTTTTGATCAATAATTCAGTTATTCCTTATGTCACGGAACAGAAACAACTAGGCTTGGTTCTAAAGTCTAATCTTGACTGGATAGCACACGTTGATTATGTGTTAAGTAAAGTAAATCGTTTAACTGATCTTTTAAAGCTCCATACACTGCACTGTCCAGATAGTCATTAGACTTAGTCTATAAGTCTTTTGTTTTAAATTTGTTTAGTTATGCGTCAGCCATATATGGAATACGACAGACAAAAATCTCGACAGACTAGAATCAGCTCATGTCAGTATAAGGCAGCTCGTGCGGTGTCAGGTGCAATGATGTACACTTCTAAGGAGAGAGTTCTTACAGATTTAAATTGGAAACCCGTGAGAGAAGTTTTTAAGCGACACAGACCAGTTCTATTTCAAAAAATAATAACTGGAAAAACACCTTCTTTTATGAAGATACTGTTGCCTTCACGCCCAGATCCACCTACCGCTTTTTCTTATTCACTTCGAAGTCGTGAAAAAATGCTTCTTCCTTCTCCGTGCTGTCGCTTGAATATGTTATATGACTCGATGATTTATAGTGCTGCTAGGGATTATAATGAGCTACCACTGGAGATACGGATGACGTTTCGTATAAAAAAATTTATAACTCGCATATTATCACCACCGAAAATACCGAAGATATCTTTTACTTATAACAGAAATGCAGATGTTAGCTTTTGCCGATGCAGAGCCGGTTTCTCACAGCTGCGGAAAGACTTGTATCTTCTTAATCTTGTCTCTGATCCCTTCTGCTCGTGTGATAACGTGACAGAAGAGAGCCTTTCTCACTATTTCTTGGAGTGTCCTTTGTTCGATACTGCAAGATTAGCTCAAATAATTTGACAATTCCTATTTTTGTTTAGAATGTTGTCACCTGAAGCACTACAGAAAGTTCAAGTTGAATTGGAGAATATTTCCGAACATCTTCGTGGCAATTCAAGAAGATTTTACATTAATAACCGTCGTCACATTATCAAAAATCATGAATATGCAATCATATATCCTCCATTTAAACCAGATTATCGGCAAGGTCATTTCATAAATCATACCACGACCATCAGATCATTAAATGAATTCATTGAATTAGCAAAAACTTCAGAATTATTCATAATTGATACCGTTGAAAGGACGTTTTAATAGTGGCCTTGATCCACAATTATTCGAGGACCAATCAGAAGAATTAATTCAAGGGAAAGACGAATGGGCAACGTATGCTGCAATGGATGTCCTTGCTGTACAACGTTTATTAAAATTAACGAACATCAACGCACAATGTCAACCTGCTGCATCAACAAATACACAGTTGCAAACCTCGAACATCACTGAATCAACACCATCACTTATGCAACCGTCTCCAGCAACCATATTGCTAATATCGTCAACAATTCTCCAATCTACAATAGATCAATATGAAAATATTTCCGATGACGAGGAATAAAAACGGCCTCTGACAACAATAGAATATGAAGATCTTTCAGGAGACGCTGACATTGCATTACCGTCACCACAACCGCAATTTTACAACGACATTTCAACACCACAATTAGAAACACCTCCACAAACCATCAATACCGGAACTCAAGAACGTCTAGTTATAATGGCATCAGATGAAGATTCACTGTTAGAAACAGTTTTGTCCTCACGACCACAAGTGGTTCTCTCGTCAACATTGGGAAGATTTACATCCACCTCCGACACAGTCATACTTCAACATTCACAACAACCGATTATTCACGGTATCATAGACATTGATAAGACAGAAGACGAACAGCATATCGGATAATTATTCCCGTTGAATGATTAACGAAATTTTTTTATTTTTTGTGTAACGTTCTTCCATGGGGTGGGAAATGTTAACGGCTACAGAGCCGTCAAGTGTCTATTTCTTTACTTTTCGTTTGTTATTATTTCTTTTGTTTTTATTTTTGTCGTTGATTATACAAGTACCAGTTAGTCCTCTTTTCGTTCTCGTCACTAAGTGACCCTATATCTATATAGATAATTTCGTAATAACAGTGACACACAATTCTTTGTTCACATATAAACAGACATAGAATAGATAGAACAAAGAGTAAGATTCTAGGACGTTTTTTCTATGTACAGTCACACATATGTAAAGCACATACACACAGTTCTTATCACTCAGTCAGTTCTTATCGTGCAGTTAACAGTATCGTATCGTCAATATCATCGACTAGAGTATAGGTAACGTTTTTATTCACTTTCCTCTGGTTTGTTTCGTCATCTTTTTTATCCCTGTAATCTACTCCCAACATTATTCGTTAATAAATTCATTCTATATACACACAAGGCAGTGGATAGAAGAGGGTTCAATAGAGACTAAGAAGAATTAACCTCTATTAGTATTCTAAACTAAAACTATCGAAAAGCATAAAAGCAATTTTGTGCGAATAGAGATTGAACTTAGCTTTGCAGTGAACTGCAGAACTAAACCCACTGCTCCGTATTTATATTCTCTACAACAACGGTTGAAGCTGTGCGATCCGCTATGCTTATTGCCACAGCCTTATCAAACTCTCTTTCTTGACACATTAGATGTGTGTGTCATTACTTTCGTGTGACGAAGAACAAATATAATCCTTTATCTCAAGATTGTTGTTGACGCAGCAAGATAGCTATTCTTTTTGCAATAGTCAGTGTGTTCGTGTGCAAAGAACGACTGACTGCAATTACAACGATGGGAGTACGTTTTGGTTCGCCCGCGCCAAAGGATAATAATCTCGAAACATTTCATCTCATTTGGCTCGATGCTGTGGCTAACGATACGGAGGAAGATGTCGACGCTCAACAGCGACTTCGTACATCGATTAATCATTTAAGAACATTCAAATATGAAAACGCGTGCGAACAATATATCCAAGGTGTATCCAAAGATGATCGCGTTGTCCTGATCTCAAGTGGCCAATTGGGTCGCGAGGTGGTGCCTCGTATTCATCAACTTCGGCAAGTCTCATCAATCTACATCTACTGTATGGATAAGGAGTCAAATGAAGAATGGGCCAAAGAATTTACAAAGGTAAAAATGTCTTGAGGAAGCAGATGATTCTTTCGATACCATCCTATATTTTCTATTAATTTACATTCGAGGTCGAGAACCTTTTCGACTAGAGTTTGAGTTAAAAAGTCGAGCTTTTGTGGCGCTCACATATGGAAATATGTAGTGAAAGGCGAATTTACCAGCTTCCCTCTCCCTTATAGACAGCTCAAAGACCAAAGGTCTAGGGAGCACCTTAGTCACGAGATAAAGTCGTAAACATTACCTTTGCGAATAGGCAAAAGTTTTGATAAACATGGTAAAAATTACTACTGTTACTTTACATTGTTTATTAAGATAACGTCGTGCATGCAGGCTTTGTTCAGAAAGATGGAAAGATTGAGGGCCAACACGGGGGGAAATTCAACGTCATGTTCGTTGGAGTACTATTGAAAAGCATGCTAGCGTACTATGACACCGGTGGGTAATGAAATGAATGGAGTCGAAAACCAAATTAACTATGACTGGTATATAACCAGAACGATAAAAATGAAAAGAAAATATGAATTGAGTAACAACTGACAGTGAAGACCTCTGCTTTGGCACTATCTCCCCTCCCATTGTAGCGACATATATGTTTGAACAATGGACCTATGTGTCTCCTAACAGCCTAACAGACAGAAAGGTCTGAGAGGTCTGGGTTTTTTTTCACGAAATGGCTCAGTATAACGGGTGGGTCATAAAAAATGTCGGTCTCAGTCTTTCGCTAATATTTCGCTCAGTTCTTATTGTCAAGACTTTAATGTTTTTTTAAAAGATCCATCATTTCAGGCTCTACAAAAAACATGTTGAACATTTTTTTATATACCGCAGAAATAAAGGAAGATAGGAAGCTTCAATTTCCATTACTTTCTAACCCAAAACACAACGAAAAGATATTTATTTTGAACATGAACTTATGCAGCAAACTAGAATCAAAACGTATGCGCTGGTACCACGAAGTGTCGTCTTTCTTGTCATGTATCAGAGGTTGTCTTTGAACGTGCTTTTCTGATATAAAACGCAATTTTACTACCGTCTACCGAAAAAAAAGGAAAATTTCCACTTTTTCGCCTTATCAGTGGAAATGAAATGGAGCTATGAAACTTCCTCTATACAGATGTAACGGAAGAATTAATCTGCTTTAAGATAAGACATATCGGATCTCAAAATATTTTTTTGATTTTAGCCTTTTTTCTTAAAATTTTTTGCATGCCATGAAACCTGCAGTTTGAAAAGGGTGATTTTTGATAAAATCGATATAAGCAAAAATTTCTCCCACAACGAATTGCGATTATGAAGAGCTTTAAACGTAGCCAATTGATAGAGCTTGTCAAGGGCTACAAAACGGTCATCTTCTTTTATTCTGTATCGCAAAATACAAGAAGCTAGAATTGAAAAACTGTCTTTTGGGGTAGCAAGTAATGGAAATTGAAGCTTCCTATCTTCCTTTATTTCTGCGGTATATAAAAAAATGTTCAATATGTTTTTTGTAGAGCCTGAAACGATGGATCTTTTAAAAAAACGTTAAAGCCTTGACAATGAAAACTGAGCGAAATATTAACGAAAGACTGAGACCGACATTCTTTATGACCCACCCTTATATTGTATGAGATAAATATAGATTCCAAAAGTTATGTGTCATTAGACAAACGAATTATGTGAGTTCCACATTTTAGTCCACCATGGCGGGGCTAAACCCAGACAGTGATCGACTGGATGCGCCTCTTCATTTAAATACATGATTTACAAAAAATAGGTTCCTGTTTGAAAACAGCAAAATTTCTGCAAACATTAGCCCTTGACGACTACTCTCATTTTTTTGAATTCATGGCTGTTCGGGGGTCCGGTTGGACCCACAGACGAATTTGTATATATGTATGTTTATGTTTGTATATACGAATCCAAAAATACGTGATTTAGTAGGCATTTTATGAGAAAGATTTTATTATCAGTACAATGATAAAATATGGCTACAGAAATCAGTCATCTGACCATTCTGACACATGCCGATAAATGTTCGCACAACTACCGAAATATGCAGTCACTTATAGTTTTAAAAAACAGAAGCTTATATTGAAAAAGGTCCTAAGTATAACGCTCCAGTTGTTATAGGGTCCGTATGGCCCACACTTTAAATTTTTGTCCGTAAAACACATTCACAAAGTTTGATGCCTCTAGAGCACAGATATAAGACTGACGATAAGGCCAGAAAACAGCTCGGAAAGTTAAGTACTAATGTAGTAGGAAACAAAAAGCTGCAAGGTGGGTCAGGTTGGGCCCTCAAATAGCCGTGAAGGGTTAAAGATGTCGTACGCACTTCACCAAATTCTTAAATACAACTGTAGTTAGTGAACATGCGTGAAAATCGATGAGCCATAAGCAAGAATACAGAAAACGTTTTGTAAATGCGAGAATGAACTGTCTCATCTTTCTCCTGCAATCAGTGTTGTACAACTCTCCGAACTCTACCTTAGTGAATGTACCTGATGATAGATGCCCGAGTACTTGCATTTTTCTTCGGTACCTATGCGAATACCCTGCTACATGAATGCTATAGATTTTTGAACATGATTTACAAAAAAGGTTCCTCTTTGAAAACAGCGGAATTTCTGCAGACATTAATGGTGTCGTGCGCGCTTTCTCTAACAAATTCTTAAATATGAACCGTAGAAATATTTCTGAGTGCCTTTTACTTTCTGAAGTCTTTAAGACTTAAGAAAGTGCCCGTCTACGGGCTAGTATCCTTGACGAGTACTCGCTTCTTGTAGATCACGCGGTTAGCTTTGAGGACCTGCGGGTCCACGAATTAGAAGACAAATAATCGGCAAGCAAAATAGGGAAAACGTATACTATGCATGGATACTAGTTAATCTGTTGTTTTTTTCACGCGACTTCTCGAGTGAAGCAAGTAAGGATGGTTACGTGAACAAAAGCGTTTCGATACGATAACGGGCGTGAACAAAACGACAAATTAACTCGTGTTCAGGAAAGACATTTTTTTATTCACGCGTATCCTCAAAGCAAGACACCATTACATGCTAGTTCTCGCGTGAAACTGCCGTGGAAATTTTGTAAAAAAGTTCCACGCGTGTTCACATACTGGAGGGTATCAAAATTTCCACATGAGCAGTGGCTGCGCTGATAAACTTTTGTTACAACATTGTTTATTCTACTCGATTCACACCCTCAAGAAAAAGTGGTTTACGAGGCACCTTACGAGGTGATTAATGACTTTTGGGCCGAAACTATAGTCAATCGATAGGGGCTAGTGAATAGGTAAACAACCTAGAGTGGTTCATCTTCCTAGGTGTTTCCTACTGAGATATTGAATTGTCAAATCTTTTCCGAAAACTTCAATGCGACGCCTGATTTTTTGATATCTCGGCCAAACAAGCTTCGTTCGAGCTCAACTTTATACTGTAAGTAGTTCATCTAGTGTTGATTCGAGTCTGAAAGTTTGAGCCTGATTCGACAACTCACAGCGGAGATTTAAAGCTTTTCAACCTTTCATTCTGGAATTCATAGACAGCATATGTTCTTACTCGAGAAGTAAAGCACAGATTGAGTTCCATATTTCCAGTGTATCTATATCTGCGGTTAGCTACGTTTGGAAAAGTCAGCTCGCTTGCTAATTTCTTTATCGGGATGTGACATATGCTAAAACAAAATATGCGAACATCTCTTGCTTTCGCGACAAACTCATATTGTCTAATCTCGATGATGGAATGAAACTTATTTAGAGTAATTAGAGGTTGGAATTACACTTGATCGAAGTTATTTATCTCATCTTTTAGGTTAGAGGTGTGATTGTGGTGTTGAATGATCTAGTAGCCCAAATTCGATTGGATCAGGTGACACGAAACCGCAACAAAGTAGATGAGCCTCTTTCCATTAGTATTTTTGACATGAATGTTGGTCACAAACAATGGACGACTGGACCTAATCGTCAGTTCATCTATTCACAATTATTGATTGATTGTCTTCTTCGAACGCAACCGACGGTAAAGGACAAAAATGAACTCCTATCTTTGTGTCAAGATGAATACAAAGACAACAAACCAGAACTAGCTATTGTTCGCGAATTTCAACAAGACTATGGATCCGAACGCGCCCTGTGGTGGTACACGAGAGACTCATTTCTCTATCGATTGTTGAGCAAGGCTCTTCGCGTACAAAATACAGACTTACTCTTTCTCTTTCGATTCTTTATTCGCGATATGGATAAACAACTCAGACAATATCAATGTTCATCACCAAGTCGCGTCTATCGAGGCCAGTTAATGTCGAATGATGAATTACAAATCTTCAAAGATTCTATTGGAAAATTTATCTCAATGACTTCGTTTCTTTCGACGAGTCCTAATCGTGAGCAAGCTCTCAGTTTCGTCAAAACTTTGATTCCATCGAATAATCTCCAACAAACTTTATTTGAGATCGATGCTGATCCTCAATTAGACGGTATCAAACAATTTGCCAACATTACAGCTCATGGCTATAATGCTTACGAAGAAGTACTCATTATGTTAGGATCAATCTTTCGACTGATCAGCATTCATTATGATGAAGATCAGGTATGGATCATTCGAATGACAATGTGCAGCATTGATGATCAGGACATAAAGCCCACCTTTGAACATATCAGAAATAACAGTGGTTGTAACGAAGAAACAAGTCTGCTCTTATTTGGTCATGTGCTACGACGGCTGGGTAAATTTGATGAGTCGGAGAAATATTGTCGTCGTTTATCTGATGAGCTACACAAAGATCACAAAGATCTTCCTGCCTGCTATCATCTTCTCGGAGATATGGCCAAAGAGAAGGGTGATTTTGATCTGAGTGTCAAGTGGCACAACAAATCGCTCGAGAGCGCTGCACGAAAATCACATGGTCATCGTCTGGCAGACAACCATAACTCCATTGCTGCTGTTTATCAGCAGAAAGGCGATTATAAAATGTCACTCGAATCGTACACCAAGGCATTGATGCTGATAAAGGGGGAATTCGGTGAGGATCATTTACAGATAGCTGAATGCTATAATAACATGGGTACTGTCTATCAGGCACAGAAAAAATACTTTGAAGCACTTGATTATTATCTAAAAGCATTGGTCATTACACAAAGGCAACTTTCTATCAATCATTCTAAATTGGGAACGTTGCTTAAAAACATGGCTGATTGCCATGTTTGTCTTGGTCTCTCTGATTTGGCATTGGGAGAGTACGATTTATCTCTGAAAAGCTTTAAAGAATCTCCTGATCCTCAAAATCGCAATATTGCACCGATACTCCACAGTATGGGTACCGTATATGAGGAGAAGAATGAGTTGCAACAAGCACTATCGTATTATAAACAAGCAGCCAACATCTATGGTCACGCAGTCTCTTCTACACATCCCAGTCTTGTCAAAGTTGAGCAAGATATTCAACGTGTTTCATCTCAACCCGAATAATGCGATCTGTATTTCTTGATGAAGGCAGTTCTCTCCTTTGATAATCTTTTTTACAGACGTTTCGACATCGATGTACTGTATAAAATAAAGTGTGAGAATAATGCTGATGAATGGATTTTGACTGAGTTATGAATTGCTTAATTTTTGATGAAAATAATAAAATGATCATAAATGCGTTATTTCACCCAGTATAGGTTTCCACTCCGCTCTTGCAGTTAGTTCTGAAAACTAACATTACCACGAGATAGCCGATACTGGCGACATTCCCCTCGATTCATGTACTGGTATTGATGGTCGGAGCTGGCTTCAAGCCAAATATTACTGAAAGTCTAGTGGAAGTTCACCAAATTGGCGAAAGCACAGGACAAGACAGGTGGGAATTGGCGAGAGTTCATCGGATTCTCACCAAGTACCCAAAACTCCTCTGCTCAAATTGCCGAGAACGTAATGGGCTTTGACCAGTAACACCGAAATTCTACTGGAGTTTCGCCAATTGGCGAAAATCAAGTGATCGTATTGGCAAGGGTTCACATCACTTTCGCCAATTGTTGAAAGTCCAGACGTTGCATTGACGACATTCCACACGTCACTCATCATTGGCGAAAGTCATATTGGCGAAGATACTCTTACAAATGCTTATATATCCCAAAAAGTAATTCCTGAAGAGCATGTAACAGTAAAACAGCCTGATTTACAGGTTTCTTTTCGATAAAAACTTTTCTAAAATACTTTTTCGTTCTTAACTCTATGATAATGTTTCCTCTTTTCCTATTTCGGCTTCTCTTACATTGAGTAATTAGCAACATTTTTTTGATTATGCATCGCTTTATTTACGCCGCTCGGAAGCGCTTGTAAATTAAATTACATGGAAGTACAAAGACCAAAAGGAAAAACAAAAAAACTATATTTCACAAGTAAACTTCATGCGATAAATACAGAAAACTTTTATAGTGAATAGCTAAGCATTTGATTTGCTTTTTATTTGGCAGTACACAGCAGATGGAACAGAAAACAAATTTAGCAGAAAGAAAAAAATAATAATAAAAAGGTACAAAAGTAAAACAAAAGAAGTGGTTACTAGTAAGCGGTAGAAGGGGGTAACCTGAGAAAGTAGAAGAGTGATCTATTTTTTATAAATGTCGTAGGACTACGTCTCAAAAGAGGTACGAATCCGTATTTTACAATATATCTGTTTTAATCAATTAAAAAGTATTTCTTTTGAAAAACGAATATTTTGGCAAGAAATTACGTTTTCTTAAAAGAGATACATTATCTCTCATTTCTATATTCCAAATAAAAATTAAATTAAATAAGAGGTAGAAAGCGATCAAGGTTATCTTAAGTGGTAATTAGTACTTATATTTAAAAAAAAATTGTTTTTCAAAAGGTTAATTTGTCAATTGTTTGTAATTTTAATTTTCTCTGTCTTCATACTCATTCGTACTAATATCCGAATCATCAGTTTTCTTAAACACTTTCAAATAACTGTATCCTAAAGGACGGCAAATCTTTGATATTCTTCTAAGTCTATTTTTTCACTTAATAATGTTTGTCAGGAAGAAACCAGATGAATATCGTGAGCAACATCGTGTTTTTTTCCTTCTTCTCTACCACCGTTCAGAACCGTTTTCATCTATACCTTGACGTCGAAAAAGATTTTCTTTGAACAATATGACAGCAGCGCCTTTTTGACTTCGCTTTCCTACAAAATCCATGATAATTTTTTGAAGAGTGAGATAATACTGCTTTTTTTTTTACAATTAACTCATTTATAAACACTTTGACGCTTACGATTTACAAACAGTTGACAAATTAATTTTTTGAAAAATAATTGTTTTTTAATATGAATACTAGTTACCACTTAAGATAATTTTGATTGCTTCTACCTCTTATTTAATTTAATTTTTATTTGGAATATAGAAATGAGAGATAATGTATCTCTTTTAAGAAAATGCAATTTCTTGCCAAAATATTCGTTTCTCAAAAGAGATACTTTTTAATTGATTAAAACAGATACATTGTAAAATATGAATTTGTATCTCTTTTGAGAAGCTATGCTTTACTGGCTGAGATAGCGTAGTACAATGCACCTGCAATTTCTGACTATCTGCTGCACCCACGTACTTTTACCTTTTCTTTTTTTATATGTTTGTTTTCTTTCATCATAAATATAAATTAAACTATTATACGTTTCAAAAAGAATGCCTCTGACTATTTTTCGAATAAATTTTGATAGAGATTAGGTAAAGAAAAAGCTGCGAAACGGGTCCCATGGGACCCGTGGACAGCCGCCGACGGTTAAGAACTGAAAGTGTTTAAATGTGTCGAAATATTCACGCAGATCAGGTGTATAATTTTTCTGTTGTATTATTTCTTGAATGAATCTATCTCTCCTCAATACACAATCCAAATTGCTACATCAGTCATTCTATTCAGCATGACTTTCGCTATTAATAATAAACTTTTATCTGTAATAGTTTAATTTGAGACTACTGATAACTGTTCACAAGAATACTTGCCGAGAAAAGGAAGGAAGAGAAATATATTAACAAATTTCTTCTACCATTGTCAGACAACAAGTTCTGCTGATATCCAAAAGTCTATACTTGCGCAAACAAATGCATAATTCGCTTCATTGCGTCATTCAATTTCTGCGATCCTTACATATCATACCTATTTTTTGTTGTTAATTCAGTCGGATTTCAGTCACTTTATATACAACTATAAATACAAATTGTAATACTTCCTTAGAATGAAATGCTAATGAAAATTAAATAAAAATATTAAATAGAACTTAGAAAAGATGCGTGCATTTGTGATCTCTAACTAAAATCTGGAACAAATATTAGGTATTCTTCTCAATATCTACATCATATAATATGATTATTTTATGCTAAGTTAGAAATTATGAGAGCTATAATTTATTTTCCAAGTTGCAGATAAGATTCAGAAACATTTTCTGCAAACACCGTTAGGATCTAAACAACTGAGTTTCTTCTGTGCCTGTCTTAAGTATATAAGAGTAAATATTTTTATCATTTATGTTAACCGTAGTATTGTACAGAACAAGGATGGACGTTGGAATTTTCCAATATTATTATTATTCCTCTCAAAACTGTGTCTTCGCTGAGAAAATTGTAAAATACTATGAAGAGGTCAAAAATCCGGTTTTTCACGCCTTTTTTTAAATTTGAGTTTTCTAATTTTGGTTACAACTTGGAACGTTCAAACCCAGATATTCTTGTTCAGCGTTGAAAAATGAACTAGAATATGGAATAAAAGTCTATTCGCCAAAGACGTTAAAAGCGAAGCGACTAAAAAACAGGTCTCATTTTAGCAAAAACGGCAGGTGCTTTCTGGAGAGTCCCGGAGTCAATATTTTTACATAATTAGAGTCGCCGGATGCTCCTCTTCAAAACAATAGCCCGCTTTTTTTAAAAATTTGTTTCATTCCTGAGAAAGTACATTTTTTCTGAATCAGAAGCGAAAAAATCGGAATTCTCTATTTTCTCCATCAGAACTCATTTTTTATGCAATAAAAATATCATATTCGGAGTTAGCATTGAAAACCGAATCGAATGATATATGTTTCGAAAATTTTCGTTAATTTTCATGTTTTGGTGGAAATCTCAGTAATTCTTCAACGTGAAAATTCGAAAAAAACAAAGGTGGTCGGATAGGGTAAAAAAGTATATCATTCGACTCGGTTTTCGACGCTAATTCCGAATATGATATTTCTTTTGCATAAAAAAATGAGTTCTGATGAAGAAAATAGAGAATTACGGGCAGAATTTCGATTTTTCCGCTTCTGATTCAGAAAAAATGTACTTTCTCAGGAATGAAACAAATTTTTAAAAAAAGCGGGCTATTGTTTTGAAGAGGAGCATCCGGCGACTCTAATTATGTAAAAATATTGACTTCGGGACTCTCCAGAAAGCACCTGCCGATTTTTGACCTCTTCATAGTATTTTACAATTTTCTTAGCGAAGAAACGATTTTGAGAGGCCGAGAACACATATTCGTGATCAGCGCGCGATTCTCTATCGAATGGTGTGTAAAATATAGAAAACTAAATTCTGCTCGATCTTTGCCGTACGTGCATCTTCGAAACTATTCAAAAAAACTACTTTTCGTACGGCCTTCGCCACCGTTATTTATATATTTATTTCCAAATAATGCGCGAATAAAAAGCAAAAAGAACTTAAAAATGTAATAAAAGCAAATCTTTTTATTAAAGCATTATTTGTGAATAAATATATAAATAACGGTAGCGAAGGCAGTATGACAAGTACGATTTTAAATTGTTTCTGTGCAGAACAAACAAACCAACTACTCTTCTTCTGTTGTAATTTTCATGACAAATATTGCAAAAATCCGGCGTCCATCCCTGCTCTGTATAATACTATGATTAACAGAAACGATAAAATTTTTACTCTACTAGACTTAAGAGAGGTACAGAAGAAGTTGAGTTGTTTACTAAAAAAATGTGACTAATTTTACTAGGATTATAAAAAAACAATAATTAAGATTTACAAAGATTATAAAAACAGGAATTTCGTATTATATGATCCTCTACCCAGCCACGGATTCATAAACGATCGATGCAAAAAACCTTTATACGGCGATCTCGATTGATCGAACATTAAAGATTTTCATTCATGATTTTTTGTAAAAGAATGTATTATTGAACTCGCGCTCGATGCATGCTCAGATTTCACCATAAATCGTGAATAAATATTTAAGTTTGTACATGTCTATTGGCTCATATGCCTATGTGTGTGACTGAGAAAAACGAACCGGAAAAAACGCGGAATAATGTTACCACTGAGAATAAGTCGGTATAAAAAAGGAAAAGTCTTTTTTCTTCTCCTTTCTGTCGATGTCAAGGTTGGTGATGAAAGAAAAGAAAGAAACTTTCTCCTTTAGCGTATCTTTATCTTTTTCTTGATGTCGCATGCAGATCACCCATTCCTTTCTATATGTATCCTTATGTTTGACAT